TGGTGAGTGAGTGGGTGAGTGAGTGGGTTGGTGAGTGAGTGGCTGAGTGAGTGAGTTGGTGAGTGAGTGAGTGGGTTGGTGAGTGGGTTGGTGAGTGAGTGGGTGAGTGGGTAAGTGAGTGGGTTAGTGAGTGGGTGAGTGAGTGGGTTGGTGAGTGAGTGGCTGAGTGAGTGAGCATCTCACAGTTTGCTCTGAACTCTGTATGTAACATTCAGGTACGTTGAGTTGGTCGTGGTCGTGGTGGTCGAGTTGATAGTTAAAGGATCAACAAGTGGGGGTCTATCCCCTCCATCCCCACTGGGAGCCGCTTCAACGGGGTCCCAGCAAAGGGTCGCCAGGAGGTCTCGAGACTCCAAACGAACATTCAGTGGGAACAGCGGAGCTGGGCAGATGGGGAAAAAACACTCAAGAGTGCGCTAACCACTGCACCACCACTCCTCACACACACACACAGTGCGCTATCCACTGCACCACCACTCCCCACACACACACAGTGCGCTAACCACTGCACCACCACTCCACACTCACACAGTGCGCTAACCACTGCACCACCACTCCCCACTCACACTCACACAGTGCGCTAACCACTGCACCACCACTCCCCCCACAATCACAACCTGGCACCCGATTTATCGACCATCTCGGGCTCTGCTCACCGTGGCTGCTGCACGTGACGAGGTGGTGGAGGAGGAGGAGAGGCAGGATGAAGGGGAAGAGTAGGCCAAGTTTGTAGAGTTTCGACATCGCCATTAACCCCACACGCAGCCACGCGCCCGCCTCACCCAAGTCACGTGCTGAGGAAATCGATTCAAGGTTAAATTAAAAAATCGGATCGATTCCTATGGGGATAACAAATGCGAATCGATAGTGGTCAAAAATGTAGCCGATGGCATCGATCCCTATTGGGACTGCATTGGAATTGACGTTGGTCGTGAGTGTAAAATGGAATCGAATACATTTTCGATAACATGGGAATTGATTATGGCGATTTGTTCTAATAACATAGGAATCGATCTAGCTAGTGATTTAAAGCGCATAGAATCGAATCCCATTGGGATACCTACCATGAGAATCGATTGTGTTAGAAAAGGAGAGCGTTTAGAATCGATTCCTATTGAGATAACATTGTAGTCTATGAATCAGAATCAGAAAGGGTTTTATTCGCCATGAAAGTTCACACCAATACGGAATTTACTTTGGCAGGATGGTGCATACATTCAACATATAGGAATCTAAAATCTTAAATAAGTTTTAAACAAGTCTTACTATAATAAGGGTTAAAAGTCTAACTAACACCAAGGGGCTGAAGTATATAAAATTGAATAAATATCGAATATAAAATAGCTTTAAGATATAATTTAAAAATAAAAAATACAAATAGGTTAACATAGTTAATATCGGCAAGGTGTCATTATGTAGATAAAATGTTAAAATCAGTGTAAGCCCTTGGCCTTGTTTAACAGGCCAGCAGCAGATGGGAAGAAACTGTTTTTATGGCGTGAGGTTTTGGTCCTGATGGACCGAAGCCTTCTGCCGGAGGGGAGTAGCTGAAACAGAGAGTGTCCAGGGTGGGAGGAATCGGCCATAATCTTCCTCGCTCGCCTCATGGTCCTTGTCGTGTGCAGGTCCTCGAGGGTTGGTAGATTGCAGGCAATCACCTTCTCAGCAGTCTGCTCTTGTCCTTGGCAGTGGCAGCAGCGTACCAGACGGTTATGGAGGAGGTGAGGATGGATTCAATGATCGCTGTATAGAATTGCACCATCATTGTCTTTGGCAGGTTGAATTTCTGTGCAGTCTGCTTAACAGCGGATGTCAAACAAGCCACTGTGTCACTCACAACGCACATTGCATGTTGGTGTCACGGTCAAAATTGTGGCAATTCCAGTAACACTATCCAGAAACTCCACAAGGGAGATGACACGTCAATGATCGCCCCCTACCGACAGACTCATGCCACGTGCAGGCCGGTGCAGGGCCACCTTGTGCCACACAGGGGCAGCTGCCACTAGGGGGCGCCCTTCGATTGTTTGAGATGAGATTCGATACGAAACACCGAGTTGCTGAGGCAATTAGGCAAGCGACTTATGAGTGCAAATATGTTGTTTATAACGTAGTGAATGCTTGGGAGCTTAATTGTCTCTCGCTCCTGCTCACAGATTTACCCAGCCCACAGCTCCACAGATACCAGCCGCTCCTCCTGGGCAGGTGAGGTTACGTACGGTGCGAAATAAGTTCCAGATACACACAGAGACTCACACAGAGACCAATAGATTATCACGGTTGGCTAGGTATGGTGCGAAAGAAGTTATGTACACACACACAGAGACCCATGGATTAACACGGTTGGCTACGTACGGTGCGAAAGTTACAGATAAACAAGTTTGAGTCGTGGGCCGTGGAAGTTGACCGGGCGCGTGTTGCTACTGTCGTTGAATACGGTTGGATAGACGCTGATAGAGAGACACACACAGACAAGACAGGCGGACAGACACAGACAAGAACACAGAGACGACAGAGAGACACAGGCAGAAAGAAACACAGAGGCAAACAGATGACACAGACGGACAGAGACAGAGAGATGTTGAATCGAACACACTGAACTTGCTCCATTGAAAGAGATTCCTCGATCTTCGCAATGCCCGGAAGTCATTCTTATTTTTATTGATTTAATTGCGTGTGGTGTGTACGTGCAGGCAATGTGGGATATCGATGTACACAGATATGAACAAGATCAGCAGACAAGACGTCTTTAATTTAATCGGTCTCTCCGCAAAACAAAGGAATGTTGAACACGAAATATAAATCCCACGGCCTTCGTGCGAGTCCATAATTACTGCAGCATTGCTTCAGTGCAAGCCAACTGTGGACCGGTTTTGGTGGGCAATGTCTCAACAGCAGTGGGGCTTGCTTCAAGCCATGGTTGTGAACATCCAGACGTTAATCAGCAAGGAGCACTTCTAGTCCGAGCTCGACAAAATGTACGGCAACACGTAAGACAAAATTATAATTCGTGTTGTAGAGAATGTATCTCCTCTACGTGTAACTTTAAGGTGGTATGCCTTGTAACTGATGAATGATCCGAGTGTGCTTCCTATGTCAAAGACAATGAGTTGCTCCAGATGCTTCCTGAAACACAAAAATAGCCTTTGACCTGTATCACAAGAACAACGGGTCTCACCTGAGTTATCTATACAGGTTACTTCCAAACACACACACACTTTGTCCTAACATCACTTATTCAATGTTTGACCCTTATAAAAAATAAAGTGATGCATGTACACACAATATCAGACAAGTGTTCATTCTAAATTATTGACAGGAATTTTAACAAAATTTAATTACTGCAGTGAAATATACTGCATCAGATAACATCTGATTAAGAAACTATTTTTAAAAAAATATGCAGCGTCTGCTTAACAGTGGATGTAAAACATACTATTGTAGTGTCATTCAAAACGAGTAGGCCATTGCATGCTGGCGAATTCTAAACATTAGCGACAAATTACAAGACTGAGATGAAACATCAATCATCGCCCCCTACTGACAGCCTCTTGTTCACATAATCTTTGGTTCTTTCAGTAAAGTCACATAGGTAGAAAAAATAATAGATCACGACGTTTCGATCGTAACACAAGCGGTCGTCCTCAGGCGGAAAAAATAATAAATGCAGGCCGGTGCAGGGCCACTACCCTGTGCCACACAGGGGCAGCTGCTACTTGGGGATGCTCTTCGAGTGTTTCAGACGAGATCCGAAACTCCGAGTTGCCGAGGCAATTAAGCAAGCACCGAATGAATGCAATTATTATGACAACATAGTGAATGCTTGGGGGATTCTTGGCTCTCGCTCCTGGTCAGAGATCTCCCCAACCCACGGGCCCACAAAGACTGGCCGCTCGCTCTTACTCTGCAGGTTGAACCTAGGAATTGAGTGTTCAACTTCACATTCTTTTCATTAAAGGCCTGTGACAAAGGTGCATCTATTGTAGCGACCGTCTCAAGCTTACACATCTACCGGGTCTCCATTTGACTTTGTATTGTCTAGGAGCAAGTCCACCCACACCTCCACTTCCATGAATTGCTGGGAGTTGCCTCGCTCTGCCTCAGTCAGAATTCACCTCTGGCTTCACGTTGCCTCCATCAATGTGAAGGTCCGACTTTGGAGTTGAATCATCTTCACATTTCACCATCACCTCTTCCCTCTTCACCATCACCTCTTCATATTTCACCTTGATACCTTTAAAAGTGTCCAAGCTGGGATTTTCTTCCGGTTCGTGTTTCATGAGGGATGGGCTTATTGTGGCACTTTGACTTTCACAAGCTGATTTCAGACTCCACTCCTTGCAGATCTTCTGATGCTTCTGTGTTCTCTGGTGTACTTGAAGATTTTATGAATGTGCAAACGCCTTCCTGCAGAGTGGACCTCAAGGGTTTCTCTCCTGTGTGTATTCTCTGGTGTGTTACAAGAGATGACTGTGCAAACGCCTTCCCACACACACTGCACTTGAAGGGTTTCTCTCCCGTGTGTGTTCTCTGGTGGACTTTAACATGTGGTGACTGTGAAAACGCCTTCCCGCACAGAGTGCACTTGAAGGGTTTCTCTCCCGTGTGTGTTCTCTCGTGTGCTTGAAGATGTGATGACTGTGCAAACATCATCCCGCACAAAAAGCACCTGAAGGGTTTCTCTCCCGTGTGTTCTCTTGTGTTTTTTAAGAACAGATGACAGTGAAAATGCCTTCCCACACACAGTGCACTTGAATGGTTTCTCTCCTGTGTGTGTTCTCTGATGTTTTTAAAGAACAGTTGACTGTGAAAATGCCTTCCCACACACAGTGCACCTGAAGGGTTTCTCTCCCGTGTGTGTACTCTGGTGTCTTTGCAGACTTAATGAATGTGCAAACGCCTTCCCACACACAGTGCACCTGAAGGGTTTCTCTCCCGTGTGTTCTCTGGTGTCTTTGCAGACTTAATGAATGTGCAAACGCCTTCCCACACACACTGCACTTGAAGGGTTTCTCTCCCGTGTGTGTTCTCTGGTGCTCTTTAAGATGTGGGGACTGTGCAAACGCCATCCCACACACACTGCACTTGAAGGGTTTCTCTCCCGTGTGTGTTCTCTGGTGCTTTTTAACAACAGATGACTGTGAAAATGCCTTCCCACACACACTGCACTTGAAGGGTTTCTCTCCTGTGTGTGTTCTCTGGTGTTTTTTAAGAGTAGATAAATCTGAAAATGCCTTCCCACACACACTGCACTTGAAGGATTTCTCTCCCGTGTGTGTTCTCTGGTGTATTACGAGATGATATGACTGTGTAAACGCCATCCCGCACATCGTGCACCTGAAGGGTGCACGAACATTACCATTTTCCCTGCTTCTTGAGTTTGTGCTCAATACTTTACCGTGTACAGGGCCATGGCGGTGTGGGGGCCGACGTCCACCCCACCGCCCTCGCTAGGCAGGTGGGGCGCGACGTCCGCCCCTTCCGCCGCCTCCTCCACCGCGTCGGTCGGCTCCCGCCGGGCCCCCGCCGACCGAGCGATCGGGTCCCCCGCGCTAGCGCCCTCTCCGAGGGACAGACTCGTGCTGCTGGCTCACGGCCGCACGGAGTAAACCCACGCACCCCCGCGCGCACCGCGGCTATCGCTAGCGCAGCGGACAGCGGCACGCTAGCGCCTGCACCGGCGAGCGATTACCTCCACGAGCATCCGCGCGCACCGCAGCCGCCGTTAACACGGGGCCCGAACGGTCTCGCACCTGCGGGCGATTATCTCAACGCGCGTCCGTGCACGCCGCGCGCCCACTACGGCTGACGCTGACGCAGCACGCGGCGGCCCACTCGCGTCCACGCCGACGGGCGATGATCTCAACGCGCGAGCTCCGGCCGCGGCTCCGCCCTCGCTCTCGCCGCGCATCCGCCCACGGAGCCGCTCCGCACGGGGATCACACGCGCACCACACCGATGCTCTCTGCTAAATTTTATTCGTGGCGCAAACCCCGCACCGCCCGGAGGGAATATTCTACGAGCGGAGCCTAGGCCTACCGCTACCCAAGTCCACAAATGCTCGCACGCCCCATCACGTACCTCGCGGCCATGCTCACGGCGTCGCGCGGACGCCGTGAGAGTCGGTAGGGACGAAGACGAAAGGGAACTTTGCCTATCGCCGCCTCGTAGCGGCGCTCGCCGGCGTCGCATGGATGCCGCGGGCGGCTCGAGAAGGCGGGGAGCGTCGCGTGCGACTCGTCGCCGCCGACCCGGCGAACCTTCGCGCACCCAAACAATTTGAAGCCAACTCAGGGGCGCCGCAATGTGACTTGCTCTGCGAGGGTCGGCCATTCTCCTGGCACCGGGAAACCGCGGGACTTTCATCCCAGAGACCCTTCGGATGAAAACCCGTCGTGACGGGCAATCCCCCGCCAGGACGCTACATGTGCGCGCTGCAGGTGCGTGCTCGGTGTGGGGGGCCACGGGGGAGTCGAGGCGCCGGCAGAGTTGCTCCGAGACCGTGGCACCACAACGGATCGGGAATTGTGTTGAAATCCGGCTCACGCAAAAGCACAAAAGGGGCGACCCAACGGGACCCGAAATCAAATCGATTCGCCGAGTCGACAAATGTGCACATCGCCCCGGGGATGGCAACTGACAGTCGAGTACGGAAAATCGTGATGTGAACAGATTCTGTTTATGTGCGACACAACTTCACGCCACATGGTCCCACGGGGAAAGACGGTGGCGTAAGTAAATACAAAAACGAACCAGTAAACCATTGGTGATTGAATTTAGATTTAAAGCTTTCGTGACTGCAGGGATTCATATTCTTGGTTCTTTCGGTAAAGTCACGTATAAGGAAAACAATAAAATAATAAAAATATAAAACAATAAAATTCTCACGACGTTTCGACTGCAACACAAGCAATCATCATCAGGTGTGAAAACCACAGCAAGAAAATTTGAAAAAAAATTGGTAATTGATCAAAGCTTTGAAGGTGATGATGCAGGAAAATTATATTATGATGCTGTGGGAAAAGGTAATAAGTTACTCTAAAGTGCCTGGCCATGGAAACATTGGTAATGATTAGGAAAACGTCTTAAATATGTTGACGTGTAAATCAGCAAATCAAATTAAATCCACAGAGGAGGGAAAGAAGGATCCCAAATATGCGACACTCAGAACCAAAAGTGGCAGAGACTCGGCCGAGGGAGTGGAGAGAGAGGAAGAGACTTTTCAGGACTTTATTTCCACTAAAAAATTTACAAAAAAACATTACAGGAAAAAAACACCTAAATTGAAAATCAATAAAACATCAAACTCTTAACAGCGGTATGTGCATGACATACAAATGGCACCGGGATAGAAGCTGTGGAAACGAGGCGGTGCACGGACATCTCCGTGTGCAGCAAAGTTGTTCAAGGGTTTTTCAATTTTATAAAGAATCAAAAGTTTTGACATCAGAATGCGATGTGAACAATATATATTTTTCTCCCGTACAAAACGAAATGTCAAACACCTGAATTCGTTTTTTCTTCAAGGATTCTGTTGTCGTAGTTACGTATGCAGTCTGCAAGTTTTTTTAATGTGGGCACGTGCAAATATTGTCTGGGTACATGAAAATATTTATTTGAAAATGTGTCCTAGACACTATATTTGTAAGTTAATAAAAGTAGAATTGAAACATTAGCACAATGTAGATTTGTATATTGTAGGGTAGAAATATATTTATCATAGCGATGATCTAATATTGGTTTAATACAATTTATATTTTTACTTAGAATACTTTAGCCATGCAAAAGACTAAATATAATGCTTGTGTTTTAAAAGAAAATAATATATTTACCAGGATTAAAGTTGTGCGAAATATGTTATAAAATCTGAGGCTTGGAGAATTGCATGCTGGGAATTAAATTGAGAAAGAAAGGGGTTAATGTATGGCTTGCAGAGCAGGCACACGTTACAGAGATTATTGACAAAACAGAATGCGATGTGAACAATATATATTTTTCTCCGCTACATTTTCAAAACGAAATGGCGTCGACATGTCAAACACCTGAATTAGTTTTTTCTTCAAGGATTCTGTTGTCGGTTTTCATTAAAGTGTAATGACAGGGTAACACCTGCTGACATCACAGGGTGACACCTGCTGACATCACAGGGTGACACCTGCTGACATCACAGGGTGACACCTGCTGACATCACAGGGTGACACCTGCTGACATGACAGGGTGACACCTGCTGACATCACAGGGTGACACCTGCTGACATCACAGGGTGACACCTGCTGACATGACAGGGTGACACCTGCTGACATCACAGGGTGACACCTGCTGACATGACAGGGTGACACCTGCTGACATGACAGGGTGACACCTGCTGGCCTGGGAAGGGCTCCATGGGTATGGCCACAGAGGTAACAACCAATCAGGGAAGGAGGCGCATCTGGGGCAAAGGCAACAGGTGGGGCTAGCCGAGTTACTCCGGTCACCTGCTCGAAAGGTTCCACGAGAGGGCGTGGCCGGGGGCAGGGCCTAGCCACGCCTCTGGCCACGCCCTCTCGTGGAACCTGCTCCAAGGTTCCACGAGAGGGCGTGGCCAGAGGCAGGGCCTAGCCACGCCTCCGTCCACGCCCTCTCGTGTAACCTGCTCCAAGGTTCCACGAGAGGGCGTGGCCAGAGGCGGGGCCTAGCCACGCCTGGGGGGATATAAGGGGGAGCGGACCCGGAGCTCGGGGCTCGTGCGTGGGGTCTCGGGTCCTGGCGTGTCGCCGTTCGCCGGCATCTCTCTCCGTCGTCGTCACGCCGCCAGCCGGAATCGTGGCCAAGAAGGGCCGGCATAGTCACGAGACGTTAACGTGGAAAGTCATTTGGTGAGACGTGCGTAGCGAGCGAGGTAGCGGCGCGTGGTCCGGTGAGAAGGAGCGACGAGTCAAATGAGAGAGGCGCAACGTGAAGTCAGGGGTGGTCCCCCCCCCCCCACCGAGGGAAAAAGGAAAGGAGGCGGATGGCTGAGTGGAGAGCGTGCGGGAACGTGAACGTGGAGAGCGAGTGGCCGGGCAATTTGCAGTTTGACGGCAAACGCCGCAATGGACGTGAGGTTCAGAGTGAACGCTAAGTGAGGGCTCGTGGGTAGAACATCGTCAGTGGTGTGACGAACGCCGCTGCAATAGACACATGCGCTACGGGTACATGTCGCTTTTGTTGCAGGTACAGCACGTGGCGACCACCTGCCGGCTCACGGAGAAGGAGCCGGGTTACGTCGAGAGGCCCTGGAAGAGGCAGCTGGGAGGCGGTGTCGCGGCAGGGGCTGGGCACATTCTCAGAGGATTCGCCTTGGTGAGGATGTTGTAGGCGTGCTGACACGCCACCTCCCGTGCTCCCTCCTCGCTGGAGCTCAGAAATGCGGGGAAGATGCTGGCGCCTTCTCCCATCCCGGGAATCGACACCTTATAGAGGAGGCCCGCGTGCATCCCGGGCCCCGAGTGAGCGTGCAGCTCGAAGATCGGGTAGCTGATGCCGGAGGTCCGGCACAGCATCCGCAGCCGCCCCGCCCACGACAGCATGGCCACCTCCGGCAGCGCCTCGAGAGCCACGGGCATGGGCCGCAGGTGGCGAGGTACCCACCACAGGCACGTGTGTGCCCCCCAGCCCTCAAACAGGCTGTGTGCGGCTTTGCCGGTGGCCGTGCACTCCGGCTCCGGCAGGTCTGGCACCGCTGCCTCCATCTCCTCCTCGTCTTCCGTTGCCGCGGCCGCAGCCGCAGCCACCGTGTGCCACTCCGGGATGGCCCAGTCCACCTTGATGGTCCGGCCCCATAGCTGGAAGTTGATTCGAAGGAGCTTCTTCCGGGCCATGGCGGCCGCGTGATGGCTCCCGTACTCGATGAACGCGTAGCCTCGGTTGAGGGTTTTGTCCCAGCGACAGATGCTCATCTTGACGTCCACCACGCCCTCGGTGGCACCGCTCATCGCCATCATCACCTCCGCTCGTTTCTTGTCTTTTGGCAGCCCCCCAATGAAGAGGCGGCGATTGTCCACGCTGATGCAGACTCCAATGCGGCGTCCGGGACGGATCTCTAATTTGTTGAGTTTCTTGACGGCATCCGTGGCTTGGGCGAGCGTCGCGTAGGTAGCGAACGCATAGCCGCGGGTCTCTCCGCCGTGCTCCATCATGAGGCGGAGCTGGTAGAGCTTCCCCACCGTCTCCAGCACGGGCACCAGCTCATCCTCGTAGAGGTCGCGCGGGATCCTCCCTAGAAACACCTCGCAGCCACGGGCGGGAGGGGGCCCCTGCCAGTCAGGCGG